TATCTCTTTAATAAAGTTTGAATATCCAGCGCTATTAGCGCTGGAATGCGTCCAACAAATATATCACATGCGTGCAGTTCTTTTCGATAAACAAAATAAAAAATAAATCGAACACTGTTACGTCGGATGGTAACACACCGGGGAGGGAAACTTCGACTGTTACAACGTGAACGATAAAAAAAAAAAAAAAAGAAAAAAAAAAACGATTTGGTTCGTTAAAATTTTATTGGAATCGATTATTAGCGCCAATTTCACATAACGCGGTGTTTTATGAAACAGGATTCATAAATTTCGAAAAAAAGGATCATTATATGGATCGAAAAAAGGATCATTATATGAATCGAAAAAAAAGATTATTATATGAATCGAAAAAACAATCATTACATAAATTACCGTATGGTAGGGAAACAGAATGTTGGAAATTGTAATAATCCAAACCAGTTGGTGTAAAGTATGGGTTTATATAGTGCACTAAATCTTGTGAGTTAGTAAAGAATGTGTTTATATCGTGCACTACATCTTGTGAGTTAGCAAAGAATGTGTTTATATCGTGCACTACATCTTGTGAGTCATCTTGTGAGTTAAGATACAATACGTTTGTAGTGCTTGTTTCCGGAGATGGTCCGGAATTTTCAACGCTTTGTAGTGGCAAAGTCCAAGAATTTAAGAAGTTAGCATCCTCTAAAACATTGTTTTTAAGTTCTTGTTTTTTTTTTACGAGGTTTATATTGGTAATTTGGGAACATATCCTTATGTTTCTTAAGGGCCTTGTTTTCTAATTGTTTAAAAAACATTCTCACTGAAGGTGGTTGTTCACTCCAACTTTGAGAAGCTAAAGATGAAATATTTGGTGAAAAAATTTTTTCACCTTTATGAAGCGACCGATATTTTGCTTCAAAATCTTTTCGAAACAAAAGGAAACTATTCTGGGGCCTTGGTGGATTATTGGTTTTTTTTAGTGGCGGCGGGATTTTGTTGAAGGGTAAATTAATTCGTCGACATCAATTGTCAACTCATAGGGTGCAGGAACAGCGTGCAGCTGTTCGTCGTTGATAACGTACTCATTTTGAAATGAGACGCCATCTGCACGAAACATTTGAGAGCCTATGTTTGGAGTGATATTCGATACGAATTGAATACCACAGCTATTAGAAAATTTATTTGCCTTATTCATAGCGATCGTTTTTTAAAATAACATTACCTTTTACTTAGGAGAGAATCGAGTCTTTAAATAATGAAATTTCTATCATTCCATATACGTACATATATCATTCATTAAATTAAACGATCTAGTGGTTTTTCCAGACTGCGTATTGTACAAGGAAAAAAAAACACAAAACAATAAAGAAACAATGAAGTTGATTCAAACTTCTGCAAGAGAAAATTTTCATCGAAACCACGTATTACAGTATTGCAGTATTGTAATGTGTATATATACATAAGAAGAATTATTTATTTAATTAGGGTAGCTGCGCAGCGCGTGACGCAGCGCAGAACCAGTACGATCATACTGCGACGAGTAAAATTCCGACTATTCGTTTGATAAAATCG